AGGCCAGGAAATCTAAACATTATATGCATTACCACATTAAAATGTAAAGGTCTGTTGTCAGCTTCATATACAAATGATGCAAAATCTTTTAATAACCTTTCTATGTACAGAAGCTTAAATCATTTTTGGAATCTGAACTAATTCTTAACTGAGAGGTTTGTATAATATGAAGGTAAAATATGCTTTGGAGTTGAACTTCATTTTGTATTTTGTGTCCAACATTTAAAAATAAAAGAAGGTATATTTGGGTTTATGAAACAAAACTGAGCAACTCTTAAGTGCAGAAATTGAAAACAATCAAATCTCTGACATCTAATTGTTTCTTAAGTCTACTGCAGTTGCACATTGTTGATAAAAAAAAAAAGACTTTTATGAAAGGCTCAGATAGCTGTGCTGAGTAAGAGTTTGATCTGTACATGATATGTTTTTGACTCTCAGTCTCCTCCCTAGCTTATTTGGGTCCTGCAGCATCCCATTACAGGTATTCCAAAACAGACAGACATGCATCATAAACCAATATGCATAGAATTAAATGGAAAGCTTTACAGAATGCTCCAATTTCAGAGGTTGCATACTATACCGTGTATCGTGTCTGTCACCTGGTAACCAGAGTGTGCTAGGCACGATCGCAAGGGTACGCCTGCAGCAAAGAACACATGCACATACAACTAAAGAGGTATAATACCCCGCCCCATTCATAATTAACGACCCCCCATTACAACCCACCCCATAAGCCAGAAAACCCAAAAAAATTTTAATCTAAAATACTTATCATACTATGCTGCACCATATTATGTGCATTTAAACATGTTGGAACATTAGTAGATAATTAGTATAAAACAAAGATATCACGTTTTCCAACACCTTAAGGTCAATAAAATTGTTGGTAAATATTTTTTCCAAACTTTAATAAGTAACAAAGATGACAGTGTTACATGAATATTAAGTATTAAAATCAATTTTACATTGACTAACCAATCAAATGGCTAGACCACTATCAAAGGATTAAAATGTCAAGTTACCAACCAGAACAGTGTGCAACGCCGGTGTCTTGTGATTAAGTCCATATTCCTTACCTATTCCTAGTATGAGAAAGAAATACACATTTGCCTGCTCTCATAATTAGAAAAGGACACAAACATGGTCTTTTGCCATGTAAGCAGTAGAAAACAGGCTACCATTAAAATATATGAAAAAAGCTGTTGGAAATTGAAGATAGGCTATGTTGACACAAGGCCACAGCAATTATATGTGCATGGTTTAATGTAACATTTTATCTCTAAACTAGATTATACAGCAAAGGAAAAGCTATGCCTAGATCACAATTGTACTTCTTCAGTTCAAATTGTTCAATATATGTGTAATCTACATTTAGTTTATAACTTTCCTGCCCGCAATAGCTATCAAAATAAGTACTGTATACCTACACGAGATTTAAGTCATGTACTCTTTGTCAAACAAGTAGACATTTGAATTTAATATTACACATAAAAGGATACCCTTGTCTGTCTTGCTTTCCTTTTTAATACCCTCCAAAAGGCAATAATGATTTTAGAGATATGTCTAGCTAAATTGAACAAGCAGCATAGGAATATATCATTTAAATATTAGGCGTGCCATAGGCAATGACAGTGACATGTAAGGAATATCTGCCTGTCCTTGGTTGTGACTACTATTCAATTCACCCAATAAGACGAGGTGGTACATGCATAGCAACCATCTTCATCTTAAAGCAAGGAAGGGTTAGTTAGGTTGCCAAGATTTTACATCAAGCTGGAAAATGTCTGTTGCTGGAAGAGTTTAGAGAGTGCACCATTAAATGCCCTCCAAATTGCCTGAGCTGTTGGATTATAGGTGGAAGCGGTCAGTTTAATATTTGAAATTTCATTCATAATTCTTTCCTTCTACGATTAAACAAATTAAGGTTAACTTAGATTGGACCTACATTAGGGATTATGTGAATGGGAGAAGATGTTATCAGGCGTAACAAACACAAGCTTGACGTATTACCTGAGGGTTAGCAGCTAAACTAGTTCTGCCAGTCTTTATTATTTCTAAATTGACAGGCAGAGCTTAATATCTCCACCAGGGAACATGAGGAATAGAATTGTAAGCCTGCCCTAATTGTACTTGGGTGAGGTAATCAAAGGAAAAATACCAGACATCCTATGAGAGTTATGCATCTGTATAAACCTTTTTTTTCCCACAAGGTCGAAGTCCATGCCACATAGTTCAGTTAATCTAGACTTTGGCCGGTGACTAAATAGGAAAAATACAGAGCCATAAATACAAGAGCTGGCAAAGTCAATTACAGCTATAAACATTCCATACAGTAAAGCAATAAAGCTCAAAGCGAGTCAAAAATACTACCTATCATTCATAAAAGTTTTTGCCATGTGAGTATTCTTTAATGCTCCAACTAACAGAAATGTAATTATTCCCTCATACTAGATATAATTGTCGGTATGATGATTTTAAAACTCAGCCTAACTGTGGCACTAAGATGCAAGTCCTGCACCCAGTGTTCTCTTGCATAGAGATTTATGGCCATTATTTAATAGCACATATTTTCCACCGTTATATTTTAAAAGTGAGCTTTGCACTATTGAGAAACCAAATGTTGTTGCATAACAACGATAAATCCTATGAAAGGCATAGACAAACTTTAGCCCTCCAGCTGTGGTGAAACTACAAAAATCCCATTATGCATCTGCATGTTTGAGGATGTCAAAATCTTGCAAAGCCTAATGGGATTTATAGTTTCACCACAACTGTAGGGCTGAAGTGTGGCTGCCCCTGGTATGGGGAAAGCCCCATTTACAATGAAGGTTATCTAGAGTAAAAAGGCCTAACATGTTAAAGTACCTTCACCTCTAAACCTGGCATGACCAATCTACGCTCTCCAGCCATTTCTTCCGAACTACAACTCCAATCATCCACAGAATGACTGAATCTGGAAAGCACAGTATCATCACCTTTGCAAATCATTGTCAGGCAGGCAGTTTACAATGTAGCGTAGCACAAACATTTTACACACAGTAGATCTTTAGGCTCAGCACAAGCTGATGATGTATCAGTCACAACTTGCGCTGTTTACATTGGTCTTGTAACCATGCGCAACGCACTCCGATATTAAGACCCTGTGCTAAATGCAGTGCAAGTGTCTTCACTGTATAACTAGTAAGTAGAGTAATGCAGGTTATGGTACTATGGAAGATATATAAGGCATTAATGAATCTTAAGTGACAATCGCATGAGATTTAAAAAAAGACAGTATCATAGCAATGCCACCTTAATGCTGAAAAACAACTTCTGTATCCTCAGCTCTTCTAGTATTTCTATTGACGGTGCATCATATCTCTACTTATCACCCACAGGGCTGAACTTTCAAACGGAACTTTCTGGATAGCAGAGTATTCAGATAAAAGGTTCCATCCCTCTATATAGATCCTTTCAAGGCTGCATTTTTTTCTTTTGCATGCATTCGGAGATTATTACAGTATTTGTTTTTGTAATCATCTTCAGTCAAACATTAAAGGTTTGTGATACAGTAGATTATAATTTAAGGTGGAAGCACACAGCATGTGCTACATGTATCCAAACAGAGAAGACACTAAATGGCCTAAACATTTGTTTTAGAAATAGAATACAAAAAAGAAGCATTTAATTTACCCTTCAAAAGCGCTCCTTACCTAAAAGAATTCGGTACATTTTTTGGTCAGTTTCCACCCACCTGTAAAATAGCGCCGTACAGCCGCAACAGTACGCTCCTCGGCTCATTGCTTAAACACTTTTCATCATCCGGCAAGGAGCAATGAAAGAGCATGTTGCTGAGGCCACCTCTGCGGGAAGAAAACACAATTTGATTGAACATGCTGACACCTCTCTTTGAGACATTTAGAAAATAGAATTTGCTTTTCTATATATTACAGTTTTAAACAAATTCAGTTGGTATTGCATGTGCTTATGCTGACAGTGCCCCTTCCCTCTTTGGGCTCTCTTAATAAAGTGAGAAACATGAGCATTGAATTTATAAAGCTACAGGAACTAACAAAAGGAACAGAGATGACATCAGTGTGCTGATGCTCCTACGTTTAGGGCTGGGGATCAAGCTGTGTTGCTTAAAGAAGAGCTCTGGGCAGAACAAAATTTAACCCTTGCAGTGGGTCTACCCCCACACTGCAAGGGTTAAGTGCTCGTTTTGGTCTGGGGTGTAAAATTAAAAAAAGATATACTCACCTGAACCTCGGTCCCATCTGGCTGCTAAACCACTCCCTGCAGCCTCTCTCTCGCTCCACTCCGGTGGGCTAAGGATCTGTGATGTCATCACATATAATACAGTGTATTAGTCGTGAGGACACTGAGAGCCATTCCATCTCTGGAGCAGACAGGGAGAAAGGGTGCGGAGACTCTGGTGTAGCAACCAGACAGAACCGCTATTTGGGTAAGTATATATATATATATATATTTTTTTTTTTTTACACCCTAGATCAGGGGTAGGCAACCCTGGCTCTCCAGCTGTGCTCAAACTACAAATCCCATCATGCTTCTGCCTCTGGGAGTCATGCCTGTGGCTTCCAATGCCTTATGGGATTTGTAGTTTTCAGCACAGCTGGACAGCCAAGGTTGCCTACCCTGCCCTAGATCAAAACGAGCACTTAACCCTTGCAGTGCAGGGGTAGCGCAGTGGAAGGGTTACATTTTATTCTGCCCAGAGTTGTTTAACTGCAGTGGAAAACAATTAGGTCACCTAGTGTGTAGCAGGAGTGCATAATCACAAGATTGGATAAACAGAAGTACAGAACTTTTGGCAGGAAAAAGAGTGCACGTGTTTCTACATCTACTGTGTATTTAGCAGGCCTGGAGTTCAGCTTTACCTGACTTGCTGGAAAGGCCATTGTCAGCAGCAGCTTAGTAACAGTATTTGTCACTCAAGAGTAGCGATGTGGCTGGAGCTTGGTGCGAACCCAGTTCGCCTGCTCAAAACTGACCGCCACCCCTCTTCCCGGCCCAATCAGTTGTGGAGAGGCGCATTACCTGCAGCTATACTTCACACAGGGACGGAGGAGTGCCCCCGCTGCAACTGCCACCACTGAATGGGTCGGGAGGAGGTCACAGTTTTAAGCGGGCTTGGGTGAACTCAGGCAAACTGAGTCTGCATCAACCCCAGGCTCATTTTTACTCAAGAGTCAGATGAATAAAAAATATCTGTGTAGTGGACCCTAACTTGTCCACCAATAGCCCACCTGTTAAAAAAACAAGCAATGTACTTACCTTTCCACTGACCCATGTCTTGAAATGCATCTCCCCAGGCGCAGCAAGCATTCAGCTGGTTGGATGGGTTGAATACCTGTTACCTGTTTCCTCCGCCGCCCGCGGTGATTCCTCCCGTCGGCTTGCACATACTGTAGTGAGATACGAGCTGGCAGGGGTGACCACAGCATATAGTGAGGAGGCAAATGCTGCACACACATGGAAGTGTGGATTACTTGCCGCAACAGGAAAGCAACAAATTAGCTGTGCTTCAAGACCTTGGCCATTGGAAAGGTAGGTATACTGTCTCAGCTTTTAGCAGGTGGACTATTGATGTACAAAAGTGACCCTGCACTGCCAGGGTCACTTTTAGGCTGGATTCACACCTGGGCGTAGCATAGGCACGTTTTTTCTGCTTGTTTTTCTGCTCGTTCTTTTAGTGTTTTTTAGCATGTTTTTCCATTCAGTGAAACGCGCGTTTCACTGACGGTATGATTTTTTTGAAAAATGTTCCTTTATTTTCTCTATTTTTAAATTTTATTTTATTTTTTAAACATTGAAACTTCCCGCCGGTTCCGCCCCTGTGCGACGCGGCCGCTCGCAAAACGCCCAGGTGTTAACCCGGCCTAAATGTCTCCTGTGCTGCAGAACCCCTAAAATTCATAAAACAAGTGGAATATCAGGGCAATCAATTTGTTACACAAATGAACAATTCCCAGCCTGATAATAGCAGATATCTTCTTATATAAACTACTGTGACACGGTCAACTTCCATTGTAGTAACTCATTAAACTGGTCAGTGAATACGATTACCTTGTTGTACATGGAATTAGGTCTTTTGGCCTAGCAACAAATTTTACAGTCACAAGGTCAACGTGCTCCTTTGTAAAGCTGACCCACTAAACAGGATAAAAAGTTCACTTCTGATCGTATTTGTATTAAGTGTGTGTTTGTGAAGGCGAGGTTTGTGTGCAAAGAAAAGAGAGATGAAAGGACATTCCCTTGCACTTCCACATCACAACAATGTGCTTTGAGATGTACTGATTCACAAACGTTTTTCCAATTGTTTTTAGTGCTTTTAGAAAACTTTTGGTTACTAGTACACTTCAAATAAAAAAAACATCATGCACAAGGGAGACACAAACGTGCTCCCACACAATGTATTCATAATTTCACATTCCATAACCACATCAGTTCAGCAAAACCATCTAAACAGAATATAAAAATGCAATTATATTAATCAGTCCTTCAAACTGAGGGCGCACCCATGCTACAGACCCAGCCTAAGATGACAAAGGATAACCACCACCCCCCACATACCTTTTATCTGATTTCTAAGGTCATCCTACATCTCTAAATGTGTAAATTTTGATACATTCCCTTCACTTACTCTATAGCAGCGGTTCTCAATCTGTGTAACCTCGGTCTCTTTACAGGATGTCCTGAAGAAGCCCCAGTGTGGGAGGGGTGAAACGCATTGACGTAACACGTTTTTTGTCTGGTTGGCCACACAATCTTTATTCATGGATATATACTCTAAGACAGGCCTCAACATTTCCATTCGCCCGCTCGCAATTGGCGAGTGAAAATTGCGTGGGGGCGAATGGAATCTCATCGGGGTGCGCCGATGGAGGGACCAAGGATGGGACACTACCGCCGCGGCTATTGCTCGCTTCTGTTCTCTCTTCACACTGGCCGCTGCAGCTACATAGTGGCAGAGAAGGAGAAGAGAGAACAGAAGTGAACGATCGCCGCAGCGGTAGTGTCCCATCTCTGGTCCTGACGGCGCACCTCGATGACATTCAGTTCTGTCTTCTGCAGCTTCCTCCGCCCACCTCAGCTGCCAGGCTGGGAAGAAGACTGCAGAGACAGTGAGAAGACCTCTGTACTGCTAACTTCTGTACTGAGCGTCACACTGATGACCTGGCGGAGTTAAGGCCGGGGCAGGGTAGGGGTTAGGTGGGGCAACTGGTGGCGAGTAACTTTTAAGGCCTGGCTAGTAGCTCAGGACTTGAAATATTGAGCCCTGCTCTAAGACCATGGAATAATGATTCGCAAATGTAAAGAGACCAATGTATTCAATTGAGTGGTGGCAGAATCTCCAAGGCAATCTTTGAGGCTTACACCTTTATGGATGGAAAATTTACTCCTCAGGATGGCAGGATTGAATAAGAAAATGAACATAACCAATGTGAGTAAGACTGCCTAAACATTGGAAATTAGACAGTCACTAGTATCCAAAGAAATTACTCTGTGATACATCTTTTCTTATGTGACACTGCCTTTGAAACATTGTAAAAGTCCATGGGATTGAAGGCCTTGAGTTGAGTATACTATCTACTTCCAAAACCAGCTCTTGTTGCACCTCTATTGATACAAAAGCCACAGCTTTCTTGACAGGATGAGATAAGATCAAGGACACGGCAAGTTTAAACAGAATTGTTTCATTAGCCGCATGTTGGCAACTATTCACAATTGAAGGAGACATTTTGCCATTTTTACGTATTGTTCCTGTCACATTATATTCTATTATGGGTTCCAATTAATACAAGCTGAAGATTTTTTGTCTTTCAAGATCGGTCTCTTTTTTTAAATTTTAAAGTGGGGAATCAATCACAACTGGGCAATCAATGTATCCATTATTCTATGATACATGATGATCTACAATCACGGCATCGCTGACAATGAAACAAGAGGGAGTTTTTCCCTCTAAACAAAGTTATGATTTGAGTAACAACTAATTATTGTGATTGCAATAACAAGAACCGTTCTGTCTCATTTTTCTGATGTTTTAATCCAGGAGATTTTGTGAATTCACATCAATATATCTATATGATTATCCCCTTTTTTCATTAATACCTAATGATATGAAAATATGTGTGGGATCCATGCCATTTGCATGTATGAATGTGGTCTGCAGACAATATCTTCCATGGTTTTTAGAAAGCTTTCTAAGCGGTGTGGTGATGGTGTTTTGTAATTAATATGTAAAATAAACTTTTTTCAATGTTTTTTTATAATATCCTGTCTGTCCCGATCTTTAAGTAACCTCTATGACTTGCTATCCTCTATATAGCAAGACGAAACAGTTTTTGTATTTTTATTACATTAAGCTCCTGCACAACCAAAAAGTTTCACAGTAGATCACTGCACAGCTCTGGAAGAAATACACAAAATACACTAAGATTCAAAAAGTAATACACATGCCTTTTATATTTAGACAATATTTCCTCATCCCGGAGTTCACCTTTAGGCCTCATGGACACTGTGCTATCTCGGGGTGTACACGTCCGTGTGGCGTGCACGCCCGTATCGGGCCGTTCCCGGGAGGAACAAGTGCGTTTTCATACGCACACCTGAACTGCACATCCGTGTGGGTCCGGATGTCCGTACTCAGACGCAGACAGGATCCATCCCGGGCGCTCCGAGTTAGCACAGTGTGAATAAGGCCTTAGTGCCACAAGTGTGATTTATAAAAACTGTAGGAGCAAGAAAAGCAGCCATGAATCTGTCTGGCTTTCAATTTTCTAGGACAGGTTAGAAAAAAAAAACCAGACATCTGACAGGAGGCTGCAGCAAACCTTTTATTTTCCATTTTGAAAATACGTTCTGATGTCTAACTAAATCAATCAGCAGTTAAAAAGGGTCATTGACATTAAAATTACTTCCTGACATGTAGCAACATTTAATAATACTCATCAGATGGCAATGTGCAATTTCTTCACTTATCACCTGCTATCGTAGTGAGTCATCTCCAGAAATAAAGGCAGCACGGCCATTTTCTCTAATACACACTTTTAGGCATTATGAACTACAAATGTACATTTCATGAGACGTCAGCCTGCAGTACAAAGAGGAAGTTCTATAGAAGTAACAAGAGCACATACAGCACAATTAGGAATCACATATAGGGGAAGCCCAGATGTTACTGCTAACTATCCACACAGGAAATGAATACACAGTTGGGCGGAAAAATCTGTTATACTGTGAAATAAAAAAATGAATTGCGGGAGGCTTCCCGCTAGCAAAAACAAAAACAAAAAAAGGAAAATGTATTTATTGTCACACCTTAAAAAAATGTTAAAGCGATATTAAAGTCAATGGGTTTTAAGTCATTTCAAATGCGGATTCAATGGATGCTGCTTCTTGATGTTTAAAAGTTTTATTTTCCTGCAGAATCAAATTGTCCCCTGAGCACTGGCCTTGATATTTTGTTTTAGGGCCGGTTCATACCACAAGGGCTGTGTTCCAGAGCGTTTGGCCTTCTGGAACGCAAGCAGGCCGGCTTCCTGCGTTCAGGGGCGGGAGGGAGCATGGTGGTGCATTGAGGTCAATGGCACCGCAGCCATGCCCCCCAACCGCAGTGCGATCGCCTGCACCCGCAACGCAGACACGAGTGCCTGCGTTCTGGGTGTGGGCGATCGCACTGCGTACCCACTCTAATAACCCATGTAATTAAGCCTCCCCACTATAATAACCCATGTATTCAAGCCTCCCCACTATAATAACCCATGTCTTCAAGTCTCCCCACTCTAATAACCCATGTATTCAAGCCTCCCCACTATAATAACCCATGTCTTCAAGCCTCCCCACTCTAATAACCCATGTATTCAAGCCTCCCCACTCTAATAACCCATGTATTCAAGCCTCCCCACTATAATAACCCATGTATTCAAGTCTCCCCACTATAATAAGCCATGTATTTAAGCCTCTCCACTCTAATAACCCATGTCTTCAAGCCTCCACACTATAATAACCCATGTATTCAAGCCTCCCCACTATAATAACCCATGTATTTAAGCCTCCCCACTATAATAACCCATGTCTTCAAGCCTCCCCAGTATAATAACCCATGTCTTCAAGTCTCTCCACTCTAATAATCCATGTCTTCAAGTCTCCCCACTCTAATAACCCATGTATTCAAGCCTCCCCACTATAATAACTCATGTATTCAAGCCTCCCCATTAAAATAAAAAGCACTATTAAGATTATGCAAAACAAGCCTTTTGGAAATAGCATACCTGTAGGCCTCGGCCTCTTTGAAACCTGTCTGAAAAACTTCTAGGCTACATGGCAGGATGGGCCGACGGTTGTATGCGCACCCTGGGAATGAGCTTGCGGCTTTGATCCCAACCCATGCATGTGCAGTGCACTCTGAGGGGACTTTATCAAAGCTGGGGCAGACAGAAGCTGGAGCAGTTACCTACGTACTTGAATGCATTTTTTTTAAGTACTGGGCTGACCATATCACAGTGATATGAAATCAGTGTTGTATTGACTGTATATCAGTGATTTAGAAGCACTGATCGTATATCAGTCATATGGTATCCATGATGGACTGACCATATAACTTGATATGAAAGCACTGACTTACCAAATATAAGCAATTTAGAGGCACTGACCGTATATCAGTGATCCGAAAGCACTGAAAGTAAAACAGCGATATGGAAGCACTGACAGTATAACAGTGATATGGAAGCACTGACATTATAAGGGCTAATTCCCACCAGCCCCAGTGCATTCCGGCTCGATTCGGTGCTGCAACGCACTGGATCGCCCTCCGGCCGCAGTGGGGTCGCCTGCACCGGAACACAAAAATGCTGCATGCACTATTTTTTCTGACCGCAGCGGACTGAAACGCAGGCATTGATGCGCCACGTATTCCGGTGCAGACAATGCATTTCCCAGCAGGCAACGCGGCGAGGGAGCTGGTGGGATACCTACTGTAGGACCGTCCAGGCAGCGTGGTCAGTGAAGAGAGTGCAGGAGTTGGCTGCCTGTAGGCACAGAGATCGGGAGCTGTGAGGACATTCTGGAGGAGAGCTGCTGCAGGTCCAGGTAGGTACTGATTGTATATGTGTAGAATGTGTGTGTTATTGTGCTCAAGTGTTTATTAAGTAATGCATACATTTGTGTTGTGACGAAGGGCTTGTTCACACCAATTGCAGTGCGTTCCAGAGCGGTAGCTGCTGGAACGCACAGCAATCGCTCACTAAACTTCCCCCTTCGTTGTGGGGTGGGAGGGGGCGTGGCGTGGCGGTGCATTGAAGTCCATAGAACCGCAGGCACGCCTCCCGGCCACAGTGCGATTGGCCGCAGCGGAACGTGTGGCAAATTAATGCCTGCGTTCAAAACTTCATGCCCCCATCCACCCCTGTGAGCCGAATCGGGTTGGAACACATTGGGGCTGGTGTGAACTATACCTGAAAGTCATAATATACTGTTTTATTTAATATTTTTTAAAAGGTATCAAAATCGTGTTTTTTTTTTGAGGTGGGGGGGGGGGTCGGGCAGCCCTTAATGGTTTCTTGCATGGGGCCCTGAGGTTTCTAGTTATGCCTCTGTGTATAACAGTGATTTAGAAGCACTGACAATATAACAGTGATGTGGAAGCACTGAAAGTACATCAGTATTCTGGAAGCACTGACAGTATAACAGCGATGTGGAAGCACTGACCGTATAGCAGTGATATGGAAGCGCTCCTCCTCCAGGAACTTCCATGCTCCGGGCAGGAACTCCTTACACCATCGGTAAGCCTTTCTCCTGGTTCGGAGGTCGGGCTCATCTTCGGGGCTTCGGCAGCTCTCCTCTGGACTCTCCTCCACTGGCTCCTCGATCCTCTGTCCGCTCACCAATACTCCGGCCGATTCGATCAGTAAGCCGAGAGAGTCGGGAATCTCATCTGCGCAGGCGAACTTCGTCTTCATCTTCCTGCAATGTAGAGACCGGGAGAGCGATGTGTGTATAATGAATGTACGAGCTGTCACTATGTCCTCCTTGACACTGTCAGATCTCCTGTGCCGGCCGAGTCTGTGGATCCAGCCTTATATGTATTCAGGAACGTCACAAAGGCCGATCGTACTGTTCGCACAGAGCCCCTCCCTCCCTTCCTCATCTCTGATTAGCTGGAGGAGAATGTCCCTGCTGACATGTGTCGCCGCCTCTTCCATCACACAGTGCACCCATTATGAATGGGAAGGCTGCTGCTGCTGCAGTTGCTATAGTTACAGATCTATGATGGCCAAGAATTCGGTATATCCTTCATCTAGTGGGTACTGAAGAAAAGTATATCCATGAGTATATGCAACAGCAAGTGTTATACTTATAAGTATATGTAGAGTATATGTAGACCAATCACTGAAATATCATATGGATGGAAACTGTTAACGAATGACACTTGGTTTGCTGAAGTGCTGTATTTAATAAACAATTGTCATTTAAAAAAAAAAAAAAAACATGCTTTTAAACCTTTTTTTGCCTAACCTTCAGCTGAACTCCAGCAAGAGACTTGAATTCCTATTGGAATCTTGGTGTGATTTGTGTATTTCGTCCAGATCTGCGCAGTAATCCAGAGTGCAGACATCCCAACTCTCCCGAATGTTCCAGGAGTCTCCCACTATTAGCGGCTCCCGGCCGCCCGGGAGAGAAACATTTTCTCCCAGAAAGGTTTACTCTGCTCGATCTAGCAGAGTAAACCTTTCCCTGCTGTCTGGTTGTTGTTTTTTTCTTACTCTAATATCGGAGCCGCCGGCCGCTGTTCTGCCGAGAACGCTGCCATCAGAGTAAAAAAAACAAAACAGCATAGGAATGAATAGCTAGATTGCTATTGGCTATTGCAATTTGCAATAGCTAATAGCAGACTAGCTATTGCACCCGCCCACTGCTGCTGTCAATCAGCATAGGTGGACCTGAAGTTCTCCATCAGATCCTCTCTCTGCTGATTGACAGCAGCAGAAGGCGGTGCAATAGGCAGCTTGCTATTGGCTATTGCATATTGAAATAGCCAATAGCAATCTAGCTATTCATTCCTATGCTATTTTTTTTTATTCTGACGACAGCAGCTGTCAGAATACTAAAAAAAAACAGCAGATAGCACGGGAAGCAGTAGCTTCTTTGCTATCTGCCATCATTTCAGGGGGGTGCTCTCTCCAGAGGGTGGCAGAGGGCACCTCCCTGAAATGAGAAGGGCCCTGACATTACTTTTTTCAGGTTGGGATACCTTAGAGTGAAACGTTGCCTCTGTGTCGGAGCTTCCTGTAATAAAGAGCAACGCATGTGTGAAGAGTGACAGCTTCAACATGTGGAACACCACAACATGTCTCCCCTCCTACACATTGATCAACTCATGGTTCTAGTACACAGTCTTTCAAGGTACAAATCATTGAAAGTGTTGATCAATGTTGCAAAACGTACACACCACAAGCGCCAGCACCGTATTGTATATAAAATCAATGTGATGCACTCTCGAGGCAGCTCACGCTGGTTTAGGGCAACCACAGAACTAGAATACAAAACAAAGAGAGCGCCTCCATCGTGTAAAACGTTTTAATATAACAATATAAAAACAGCTAACATGGTACTCACAAACAGAGGATATTTAGCAGAATGGGTTCTGAGGAAGGAGGCGTGTCCTCTGAAACGTGTAAACCAGGAAGGACATGCAGCTGGTCGGCTGAGCCTGTTACATACGATTTTTTATGCCTGCTAAATATCCTCTGTTTGTGAGTACCATTTTAGCTGTTTTTATATTGTTATATTAAAACGTTTTACACGATGGAGGCGCTCTCTCTGTTTTGTATTCCTGTTGATCAATGTATAAAAGGGGAGACAGATTCTCAAAACTAATAGATATTTAAGCTAGATACACCTTATTCGCCACCTGAGGTGGTCAGGAGAAGGGGGAAGCAGTGGGACAATGTGGTCCTGGAGGGAGGCAGCGGGTGACCAAGGTGTCAGCTAGGGGAGGGGAGCGGGGGCTGTGGTGCTAAGTGGGACCTCACTTATTATTACTCTCCTCATCTCTCCCCTATAACCCTCCCGTTTTAACTTTCTTTCCTATCTTTCCCTTCTCCCATTCCCTTTAAAACCCAAAATATATGCAAATATAGATTAAAATGAAATAAGATGCTTCAAATTTTGTTCCATGTAATCTTATAACACATAATTTTTTATACATGCACATGTTTTTTTATATGCATAATTGCACTCATTGTTGGAGACGATGGATCCTGTGGATGCATCCACCGATAGAGATCCTAACAGGTTTATTCAGTTAGGATAAGGTATGGCTAGTTCATACCTCACCCTATAGATCTTAGTATCCCTTTGGGTGTTTATTGATATGGATACATTTGTAATCTCAACCTCAGTATCTTCTGTTGGAATCCTTCTGACTGATACTAGTGTATATCACTTATATACATAGTGGTTCCAACTTGGACCCCTTGGTACTGTGTTTAGAGCCTTAGTTCTAAACTGGTGGGTCGTGATCCAAAAGTGGGTCGCAACCTCGTGTTCAGTGGGTCCCTGCGTGCCTTCCACTTTTCTAGGTGAAAGGCTCCCCAGCCTCCACCTAGCGCAGCACCGTCGGTTCTCGCACCAAGCAGACATTTAAAATACAGTGTCAGCTTGAGTTGAGCAGTGGCAATCCCTGTCCCTCACTTGCTCGTCACTGCTGAGGCACCGAGATCGATGGCCTCAGTAGTTTTTTTTCCTTTTTTTGATTGGGCAGCTTGGACCAATGGCGCTTTGCTATTGGTCCAATTCATCCACAGAGCTCACACCTCTAACAAAGAGTAGAGACTGCAACAGCTCTTGCCTCAATAGTTAGGTTACACAAGCAGTTTGGAAGCCGGATGCAACGCTACCTGTAATTAACAGGCAGTGCTCTGTCCATGACCCCTTGCAGAGCCCAATTGAGATCCCACACAGCCCACCTGAGGGTGACCCTGCAGAGCCCACCATAGACTCTCTAAAGGTGCCCATACAACTTACGACCATCGCAAGACTTTTGTCTTGCGATGGTCGTAAGCTTATTAAAAGCTTGTACGATCTGCCCATCTTGGATAGGCAGATCGTACTTGCTATCATCAAAAGCCCGCCCCGCTGAGGGACGGGCTTTCGATGACCGCAGTGAGGGGCGGGCTTCGGATCACTGCAAACAGGCAGTGTGCGCGTGCGCAAACCGGCCCGTTCGGCAGTTTTTGAACAAGCAGGCAACTAACCCGCCGAGAATTGTACGATTCTCGGCGTGTTTTCAAGCCTCCTTGTTCGATGGAAGACGTGCGACCGTACAGAAATCGCGGGATTTCCCACGCTTCTCGTACGGTAATCGTATAGTGTATGGGCACCTTTAGGTGTGCTCTGCAGAGTCACCCTCAGGTGGGCTGGTTACACTCCTTACCTGTCCGCCTCCTCTTCCTCCACCCCATAGCGACCGCCTATGGTGATTGTTACGCCACTGCTCGCATGTCCTGTAGAGGTGCACGGACCAGAGTGATGTCACATTCTGCCTCCTGGCACCTCTTCAGGGTGTGTAAGGGAGCTGTACAAGCAATGCACATATAGATGGAGCTCCATCACAGCACAGCAGCCCACACTGGACCCCAGGCTGAGGATCCACTCCAGTTCTCTTAAGTTAGGGAGACTGAGTAGATTTTTAAAAAATATATATTTTTTTTGGAGTGCGTATGTGTGTGTGAGAATGTCCATGAGTGAGATTGTGTCTGTGGTTGTGTGTGTCTGTCAGTGTTTTTGAGCGCCCATTGACACTAGTACAGTGCGTTATTCACACAGTCCCGTGTGATTAACACACTGTACCACGCAATCGCACCTACCACGCTTTTTGGTGTCAGAGGTGCATTGCATTACCATTCATTGGAATGGCATCCCAAACGCATCTCCCACCCACAGCTCTATTGCCATCAGAACGTGCAGAACCGCAATGCCGTTCATTGCATTGCAGTGCAACTTGGGTCACGACTTAACGACCAAGGACAAAAGTGGGACCTGAGGTTACACAGGTTGAGAACCACTGGTTTAGAGCATATGTACTTCATTCATACCCTAATATAATAGTAGATAGTTAAACAATTGTGCTACAATTAGGCCTTAGGCCTGTAGGCACCCTGTGTGAGAAAGCTTTACAGTGCCCCTCAGTGACCACACCCCTCAGTGACCACACCCCTCAGTAACCACACCCATTTCTCAAATATCCGCACCATTTAAAGACTCCCATTTTGTTAAGCCCCAAAGAAACATATTAAAAAGTATGATAAAAATAAAACTTTTATTCAAAGGTATTAAACTTGTAGGCACAATATAATTATTCTTATTAAATAAAACAACAGACGGTAAACAAGTGGTAAACAATAAATGTCAAACTAAAATAGAGTCTGTAAAAATAAAGTGTCAGGTTGTCATGCCGACCCTTATTTCAAGTAAGTGCATCTAGAAAAGTAAAAATAAAAAACACAAGACAAAACCTAGACTACATGTTACATTAGTGAATTACTATTTGCCCGTATATATGAAAAATGTATTCAGGCACATAATAATTTGTTTGAGAATGTGTGTCACATGACGCCATGCATTCGTGGCGTCAGGTGACGTCACATGCCGATATAGGCGCCGCCATCTTGGTGTATACCTAGATATACACCAAGATGGCAGCGCTGTGTTTGCCGCCTGGGCACCCTTGTTGCCAATGTGCCCTGTGCAGCCGCACAGCTCGAACACCCCAAAGGCCTGCCCTGCTTAGTTGTATGTCACATATTGGATATACAGTATAGTCAGTGGTAGGACTTACCTGGCTACTGAGACAACTGTATACCATATACACCTTTTGTAAAGTTTTAGTTACCATAGTGTTCCTGGTGGGCTGAATACCTTATCAGAAACACTGGCTAGGTAGATGCGTTAAATATCAGTTC